CTATATATATATATATATATATATATATATATATATATATATATATACACACTTGGGAACACATGAGACCAGTCTGTTTTCATGAGAACGGTGAGACCACTTGTTTACATTTGAAATTTCGTAGCAAAATACTATGAAGGTAACATTCACAGTGTTTTTACTGTAAAGGTTGAGATTTCTTTTATCTTCATAGTGTTTTGCATTGAAATTTCAAGTGTAAAAAAGTAATCTCACGGGTCTCACGTGAACCCAATCCTACACACATACACACACACACATATATATATATATATATATATGTGTGTGTGTGTGTGTGTGTGTATTCCTCTATATACATACATATATAGAGGAGCGATCAAATGCAAACTACTCATATTTGTATAAATCATGTAAACCACCATTATCCGTTGATTTTATTGTTTAAATTAATGATTTTGTTTCATGAAATTGTTTAATATTATAAAATTGTTTCATGTAGCACTTTTCTAGATGAAGTTGTTTCATATATGGTTATGAAATTGTTTCATATAATACTTACGAAATTTTAATGAAATTGTTTCATGTATTTTTTAAAATTAATATAACGAAGATGATAATATCCATGATTAACACCCTTCACAATAAAAATGATTGATCAACCTCTCATAGTTACAAAAAAAAAAATGAAAAATTATGATTGGTTAAATGAGGTTTGCACGGTTTGTACAAATAACATGGTTTGCAAAGTAAACCTCCCCCCTCTCTCTCTCTATATATATAAACACACATGCATGTGTCCACGATATACATGTAAAACATCTAATCCGCATGAATCAACAAACTTATTTCCGTTAATAAGCATGAACTTTAATAGGTTAATAACATTTCAGCCCCTCTCCACCCCGACATTGAACGGTCAGCTAGACCAMTGCCAGGGGCTAAATCCTTTTGACCTATGTTTAGATGATCTCCACCCTTAAATGCATATTAGAATGAGATGCATTGAATCAATGATCGTATCAAGCACAATTTATGGGTGAGTTTGAGATTAAAGATGATCAATGGTTCAAATTTCTTCTTATTTTTTTAGTATTAACTTTCCTTCTTACATGATTTAGTGTCATAAATAATTGATGAAATAGATAATAAACATTAATGCCGGCCGTACCTGCCTTGTACTTCCCCAGGATACCATAACCATAACCATTTCTTTATGCCTTTAGGGATATGGAATCTTAGCTATGGCAGATGCTTCTACCAACAACACGACATGGCCTTCATCCCTTTTTATCAATAAATTAAACACCGATTTATTATTATCATTCTTATATATATATATATATATATATATATATATATATATATATATATATATATATATATATATATATATATATATATATATATACTAGAAGCGTACTCGCGCAATGCAG